AAAACAGGGAAGTAGCGCTATGCAACAATGTTTACAGTATCATCTTTCTCACCACAAATATTAATATGAAGAATGAGATTATGTAGTTAAATTTTAACACATGCCTGTATATACCCATAAGCAACAATACAGTAGCTCCCCCTTACCTGTGGTTTTGATTTCTGCAGTTTCAGTTACCCAAGGTCAACTGCAGTCTGAAAATAAAGGTTGAGCATCCCTAATATGAAAATCTGAAGTCTGAAATGCTCCAAAATCATACTTTCTGAGCACTGAGGTGACATTGCAACTGAAAATATCGACACCTGACCTCATGTGATGGGCTGTAGACAAAACTTTGTTTCATGGACAAAATTATTTAAAACATTGTATGAAATTACCCTTAAACTATGTATATAAGGTGTATATGAAATATAAATGGGCCATTGCCTTGCTAAGCTATGGTGTGGCCATGGCATATTTTTTTACGCTCTGGCTCCCTTCCCTTCCTTGGGAAGGTGAATCTTCTCTCTCTCTCTCTCTAATTTACTTTCTAAATGAACTATATTTTCTAATCTAATATATATATATTATATTATATATAATATATATATATAAATGAGTCCCATCCCCAAGATATCTCATTGTGTATCTGCAAATATTCTACAATCTAAAAACTTCTGAAATCTGAAACACTTCTGGTCCCAAACATTCCAGATAAGTGATAATCAATCTGGATTGTATATAGTAAGATATTTGGAGAGAAAGAGAGAAAGCATAGTCACATAACTTTTATTACAGTATATTGTCATAATTGTTCTATTTTACTATTTGTTGTTAATCTCTTACTGTGCCTAATCTATAACACATTTTATCATAACCGTGTATGCATATGAAAAAATATAATATATATATTTGTTTCAGTACTACCTGCTGTTTCAAGCATCCACTGAGGGTCGTGGAATGTGTCCCCCCTTGGATAAATGGAGGACTACTATATGTGCATAAGGTGTGATTAGACTTATGTTCAGAAGTCACCAAAAACAAACACCACAATATAGTTACACCTTGTATATACCAAATAATTGTAAGCAGTTGCTTTTTTTGGTTGAAGCTTTCTAAGATTATAAGGAAAAGCAAAATCCCCATTTGAGACAACAATTTTATTAATGGGCATCAAATGTTCAGACCTTCCTTTTCTGAGTAATAAAACAGGTTATTTTGAATCTATTGGCAAAGACCCTGATTATTCTCGGCTTTTTATTACATACCAGTAAATGAAACTACTAACAATTCTTTTACTAAGAAATCTGAACTGCCTTACACTGGAATAGTTAAATAAACATTAAGGGAACCATCAACACCAACCACTTACTTCCCATGAGCAATGAATAAAAGAATAATATTTGTATTGCAATTAAGTCTCTATGGCTCAAGATGGATCATCCCATCAATTCTGAAACAATTTACTCTAGCTGTATGAATCTGATCATAAAGAAAAAAATACTTGTAATGAAATGCAGAAACACTTTTTTTTTTGTATGTGAAGTGTCTTCATCATCATTGCTTAAACAAGTTTCAACTTCAGAACTCTTAAGAACAGCAAGGAAATAAAACGGAAGTAAAACACCTTAATTACTTGGAGCACACAAATCCCTGTGGAAAGCACAATTTTTAAACTTTGCAAATGAACTGGTCTAATGTAAAACAATCTTTGTAGATAATAAATCATTCAAATTCAGACAAATTAAAGAATGTAGGTATTTATTTTTATTTTACATTTATGACTAAAGAACCAGAATAACTGACAAGTATATCACTGTTGATCTAGTTCCTATAAATAAGAAACAAATGATTTTAAAATTAAACCTATTATATGCTACATGCTTTAAGAAATGTCTGCTTCCCATTTTCATTTGTTTTCCAATGCTTTCAGAACTCCAAACAAGAATTATGATACTAGGACAATAAACTATGAAAAAAAACAGTAATTTCATAATCTTTCATTTGTACATAGGATTAGGGCAAAGGCTAAGTCAAAGTCTGAATTAACAAGCATTTAATAAAATAAAAACTAAACTACTGTAGCTTATTACACTTTTCTAGTTTAAATAAATCTGCCCTCAGTCTTCTGATCTTCCTAAACATCTGCATAACCTCCACAAATCACTCCATATAAATGGCAAAGAGTCTAAGAGTGTACTGCTACACTCACTCTCTAAAGATACTGGAAATCAGTTAAACTGTATAGGCAGCAGTCTGCCTTAAGGGAGAGGCTGAAGTTATCACTTAATGAATTAACGCCATCTAGTGGGATCAGTGAGATTTCAGCTTAATCCAGTTTGCAAGTTACTACACTCTATTCAACTGGTCAAATGTCTTATTTTGAAATACACATTTGTATTAATTAGTGGACTGTCTTGAGTGTCCATTAGAATGTGATAAACACATTTGTTGCTTACAATAAAAAATGGCACAAAAATACATTGAAACCACTTAGAATGGGATATTCTTTCTTTCAAAGACAAAATATAAATCGATACTGTTAATTTGTATTTTCAAAGATCTCAGAAAAATGCAAAGTCAAAACAACAGTCCATAAAATTTGAAAATAACAATATATATTATTTATTTATTAAATGTCTAGCATATACCACAGACTTCACAAAGTTTTAATCTTTAAAGCTACCCCGCAAAGTCGTTTCACAGATGATTTCCTGTTACAAAGACACTTAAATACAGAGTGACTAATCAAAAAAGTGATCTTTCTCCCCTCTAACTATCATGTGAATGTCTCATCTATCAACATTAAATTACTGCATACCTACTACATGCTCAACAACACGCAAAGTGATGGTGAGGTTCTAAGAGAAGAAAAGAGCCCTCGCTTTTCAAGGAGCACTGGGCAGCTATGAAGCCAGGAATCAGTGGCCCTTTACAGAAGACACTTCTATCTTTTATCATAGTTTTACTGTTAATTTTGTTCACATTAAAAATAAACTGCTAGCATGAATATTAAATCCATCATAATTTTAATTCCGTTACATTAATTTAAACCAAAAATTGGTAAGAAAGAAGTGAGATGTGACCCTTCACATAACCTAACAATGCACATATTCTTTCTTTAATTTCCATTAGTTCCAAGGATACGATTTGTTTTTATCATCTTCAAGTTCAGGATAACAGGTTTCTCCATCTAACTCCTTAGTGGAATGTCAGAGTCTTTAATATACAGGATCTATCACAATCATCAGTGTTATTATGTTGTTTATATTCCTAACAGGATATTTGCTGCTACTTTTTTTCTTTATACTTCTTGGGATTACCATGCCCCAGGTAGGAACTAAAAAGAACTGAAGTAAAATATATTCATAGTTTTTCTACTTACTGACTGGTAGGTGGAAATTAACACAGAGCATAACATCCAAACTATTCCATTTCTATCTGGGAATGTCAACTTGAACATTTCAGCACCTTCCCCCACAATATGTACTTGTTTACTCATATTCATACACTCTACCATGTAATTTGTTAGACTAATATATAATGCTCAGATGAAATTCAATAAAATCTTGTAACATCCGTGGGACTGTCAATTGAAAATTTCCCGTGTGTATATATATGTATTTTTTATTAAGGAAAATTCAGATGAAATTCAATAAAATCTTGTGACATGTATGTGATCTTCAATTAAAATGTTCCGTTTGTGTGTGTCTCCTTCTTCAAGAAAAATACAGGACAGAGTTCCACATGAAGAAGCATATCCAGGCCACTATGGACCACATACTCTTCTCTTGCTTTCCTGGAGGACTCAGGAAATGAGTGGCATACATCATCTCATCTTGACCCAGATTTGCTTCACTAAAGAAGTGCCAACAGCTTGAAAACCATTCCATGGACCAAGAGTAGAAGACAAGAAAACAGCCTACTTTGATCGGCTGTCAAATCTACCTGCACACCTGGCAAAAATAGAGAAATAGCAAGATATGGTGGAAATGGAACTGGGTAAGGAGTATGAAAATCTGGTACTGCTGGACAAGTCATACCTCTCTGAGTTCTACTATACTTATTTATAAAATAAAAGTCATAAAATGTATGTTTATATATCTCACATAAATAAATCTCAATAATATAATTTTTGTTAGACATAAATAAATGTGACTGCAACTGAAAATGCTATGTTCAGTATGATAATCTTGTCAACTATACCCATTCCCATTCTACTACTGATGTGATTAATATTTACCTTTCATCTCAATCAGATTGGATGCCTCCCTGCTCTGTGAACTCAACAAATTGGTTCACACTTTTAACCTTTTGTTGATGTTCCTTGGTCCCGGAGGATCTTCTTTTCCTTCATCCAACTCTGTTCATCCATCTACCTTTGAGGATTCTGACAAGTTCTGCCTCCTCTATAAAACTTTCCTTGACTCTCTACATGCCTAGAATGATTTGTAAAACCCTTTTACACCGAGTATCTGAACCACACAATTTAACATCTAAACATGTTAACAATAAAACAGAAGCTTCAAAGACCTATTACAATACTTACAATATGGCAGGCAGAGTTCTAAACATATAACTATGTACTATATAATGTAATCTCCAAAGCAATTCTATGAGTTAGTTACTATAGTGTTCCATTTTACAGATGGAGAAACCAAAGCACAGATAAGTAACATTCCAAAAGTAGTAGGCAGCAGCGCCACAGCAGAATCCTAACCCAGGCTACAGAAGCTATCCTCTTAACCACTGTGCAGTACAATTCTGCTTGTTAAATGTTTTATGTGTACTGTTTTATCTTGATCCAGAATGTATGATCCCTGAGGAAAACAGTTATTTCATTTAGTACAACTAGATATAACTCTAAGATAACTCTTTCACCACCTTGCATTTTTCTGGCTTATACAATTAGGTGCTCAGTATTTCCTTGAAAGGAGAGAGATGAGCCATCAGCCACTTTACAATGTTTTCATAAATAAGAATCCTAATTTGTTCAGCTTCTAACAAAAGATTATGCCTGCTTCTAAGCCAGACTTTTAAAAAATGTTGAAAGTCTGAGGTACATTCATTTAGTCACTTAACAATTTCACATTAAAAGAAATGGAAGAGAAATATGCCTAGTTTGAGAGTCAGCTGCAGGAATAAGAATAATGATTTAAAAACAAAAACTAAAGACCTCTTCTGATTTACACTGAGAAGCAGTCTCTTGAGCATTTCTAAAAAAAAATTAATAATGGAGATTTAATAATTCAATGATTAAGTCACTTGGGACCAGGAACAACCCAAGATTTACGACTATTTTTATTTTTATTTATTTTTATTTATTTATTTTGAGTTGGAGTCTCACTCTGTCGCCCAGACTGGAGTGCAGTGGCCGCTCCCGGCCACCACAGCCTTGACCTGCTGGGCTCCGGCGATCCTTCCGCCTCAGCCTTCCAAGTAGCTGGAACTACAGGCGCGCGCTACCACGCCTGGCTAATTTTTTGATTTATTGTAGAGATGAGGTCTCGCCAAGTTGTCCAGGCGAGTCTCGAACCCACGGGCTCGGGCAATCCACTCACTTCAGCCTCCCAAAGGCGCGGGATTACAGGCTGAGCCACCGAGACCCGCTGACAACTATTTTTAAAATGCCAGCATCCTGTAAATTTAACTGACATTACAGTTAACAAAGTCTTTTCTTTTAAATACATTGTGTTACTTATACCAAACAAAAATCTCGTGAAGATACTTATTTTACACAAGAATAAAGTGACGCTCAAGGAGATTTAGGGATTTGTCCAAAATTATACAGGTAAGTGGCAAAACGAGAACCCAAATCTGTGTTTCCTGATTCTAACACCTGAATTCCTTTCTGCTTTACAACACTGTTGGGAGAGTGGTGTGGATAATTCGAATTTAAATTGTATTTGGCTTTGGAGTATGTTTTTTGAGGTCTCGTTTTCTGGTAGTTCATAATACTACAAGTCAACAATCACAAAACAAAAATGAAAAATCTTGGCTGTGGAAGAAATAGCAGGTTTTCTAAGACAGCATGCAAAGCCTTGGCCCACAAAAGTTAGAGAAGAACAAGAAATCAAATAAATAAATGTTATGTTGGTGCCTCTTTTTTTCCTTTATTTTGAAAATTCACTGTTCCCCTCCCTTGACTAACTCTCCAGGTCTACCCAGTAGTAGACCTGGGATAATAATGATTAGGTGATTTGTAAGTCTGAATTGCTGGGTGCACTGGAGCAATGAAAGTAACCAGACAGGGACAGCATCTCATCAGCTCCTTCACCTACAACTATGAATAAACATGCTCAATCCTCCTATGTATAATACTCTCTCTCTCTCCTCTCTCTCTCTCTCTCTCTTTCTCTCTCTCTCTCTCTCTCTCTCTCTCTCTCATAGTTCATAATGCTACAACTCAACAATCACAAAACAAAAATGAAAAGTCTTGGCTGTGGAAGACACAGAACACACACACACACACACACACACACACACACACACACACACACACACACACACACACTCAGTAGAGTGCCCAAAAGAAAATAGATAGCCAAGACTAAATTATAGTTTCTACTTACTAGATTGTGAGTTCCTTGAGGGTAAGAATTAACTTTTTAATTGGTAACGTCACTTTTTAGTTTGGGTAGTGGTAGGATGTTTAAAGTGGTCAATAAATCAACTGTACGAAATAAGATGACTGGCAATTTCTAAGATACTTTCCAGCTCTGGAAGTCTAGGATTTCAAAACATCTCCCACTTGGTACTAAGCACTACTTTTCATTTCTAAATTCATAAAAGAGTTTTGGCTGAGGTCCTTTTTCTTTTCTGACGCCTGCTGAATAGAGATGTTATTTTACACAATATACTTAGCTAAAAAATTTCCCAAAAGCAAAAATATGTGAATGTCCATGAGCTTGGCACAGAGGAATTTTAGAGTAGTTTTTCTTTACTGATTGACTGCAAAGATTTTAAAAAATCACTCTTAATCCTTGCCTTCAGTTTATTCTGTATACACAACACACCAAAACAAAAAGGAAAGACCAAAAACTTAGTGCAGCATTAATTTTAAAACTTTATGCACAAACATTAGAAGCAAATTGAATGCTCTATGTCTTTCAGTCAGTCTAGAATTCCAGATGACTATCAGCTAGTTACAGCTTCACTACTTCCTGTGTATCCTGGGACCCATGGCAGACCACTTCTATGATGCTCCAACTCACCTAAGACCCCTTTGCCTTTGGATCTTCATAATCCTTACTCTTGAGACGCTCACTACTTCTAGAAAGAACCCCTTAACCAGGCTACAGATGCCACCTGAAATTCATGCCATCTTCACCCTCACCTTCTATTCATCCCTGTGTGATCATCTGTCAAGTTCCCTCAGAAGTCATTCAAATCTTTCTTTTTCTTGACCTCTTTATGCAACAGCATTAATTTTTTCTAATTTTTTTTTATTTTTATTTTAAAGATGTGGGGTGCAGTTCAGGACTAGGTATACAAATGTTCATTATGCAGGTACCCTTGCTGATGAGGTGTCCCCTTCCCCTCCCCTGGCAGTTTCCCACTACTGCCAATCCCTTTCTTAGGGTATTATGATAATTGTTCAAGGATTGCTTATGAGTAAGAACATGTGGCACTCAATTCTTTGTTTCTGTGATAGATCACTCAGTATTATAGACTCTAAGTCCATCCAAGTCACTGCAAAGTTCATGACTTTGTCTTTCTTTATGGCTGCATAATATTTCATTTTGTATATGTACCACATTTTTTTTATCCAGTCCTCTTTTGATGGGCAGCACAGTTGGCTCCATGTTTATGCTGCAATAAACATGCATGTGCAGGAATCTTTTTCATAGAGTGATTTAAGTTCCTCTGGGTATATTCCCAGTAGGGGGGTTGTGGGGTCATATAGAAGGTGAATTTTTAGATCTTTTAGGAATCACCAAACTGTTTTCCACAAAAGTTATACTAGTTTATACTCCCACCAGCAGTGTAGAAGTGTTCCCTTTCCCCCACATCCTCTCCAGCGTCTGTTGTCTTTTGAGTTACTGATGATGGCCACGCTGATGGAGTTAGGTGGTATTTCAGTGTGGTTTTAATTTGCACTTCTTTAGTGACTAGTGAAGTTGAGTGTTTTTTCATGTATCTGTTGGCTGCTTGTATGTCTTCTTTTGAGAAGTGTCTATTCGTATCTTTTGCCCATTCTGTAATGGGGCTGTTTGTTTTTTTCTTTTCGGCACGTTTGAGTGCCTTGTAGATCCTAGATGTTAGGCCTTTGTCAGACATACAGTTGGCAAATATTCTGTGGGTTGTCTCCCCGCTCTCTTGATGGCTTCTTCGGCTTTGCAGAACCTTGTCAGTTTGATGAGGTCTCACTTGTCTATCTTATCTCTTATGACATGGGCACTTGGGGTTTTGATCAGGAACTGGTTGCCAATTCCAGTTTCCATAAGGGTGTATCCTGCATTTTCTAAGTTCTTATAGTTTGAGGTTTCATTTTATGTTTAGGTCTTTGATTCATTTAGAGTTGATTTTTGTGTATGGTGACAGGTAGGGGTCTAGTTTTAATCTTCTGTATGTAGTCAGCCAGTTTTCCCAGCACCATTTACTGAATAGGTTCTCCTCTCCCAAGTCGTTGGTGGTGGAGGCTTTGTTGAAGATGAGTTGAGAAATTGAGGTTTTGCTTCCAGAACCTCTATCTTGTTCCATTGGTCTATATGCCTGTTCTTGTAACAATAAATACCAGGATGTTTTGATTATTGTGGCTTTATAATAAAGTTTAAAGTCTGGGAGTGTGATGCTTTGGTTTCTTTTTGTTTTGTTTTTTGTTTTTGGCTGAGGATTGTTTTGGTTACTTGTGGTCATTTATGTTTCCATATGAATTCCTGTATTGTTGTTTCCAGGACTGAGAAGAATGCTCCTGGTAATCTAATGGGTATTGCATTGAATCTGTAGATTGCCT